GGTTTTATTTTTAATGAAGAACTGAATTGATTTTTGTATTTTTATTCGATCAAGTTTTTTATAGTTGTGTCTAAGAACTATTTTACTAGAAAATCTAAGAGATTAAGAAATACATACTTTATTTTACAAAGTTAATAGAGATGGAAGTGACCAATAAAATTAATAAAGGAATGCTAGTTCTTTGAAAGAGATAATTTACAGGAGGGCGGGGAGGGATAACGTGGGGAGAAATACCAGATACAGGTGATGAGGGGCTGAGGGCAGCAAACACCTTGCCGTGTATGTACCTATGCAGCAGTCCTGCTTGTACCTATGCAACAATCCTGCATGATCTGCACATGTACCCCAGAACCTAAAGTACCAAAAAAAAAAAAAAAAAAAAAGATAAGTTACAAACTATTCTAAAGTTTTTAAATTTTGAAAAGAACTAATAAGTTTTGATGGTTTGGCTATCCAAATGTGTAAAAGAACATAAATTTAATAAGGACAAATGTTTTGAATCATTTTAGAGTGATTATCACAGGAATCTTTTTTTTTTTTTTTTTTTTTGGGGACAGAATCTCCTTCTGTTATACCCAGGCTGGAGTGCAGTGGTGCAATCTTGGCTTACCGAAACCTCCGCCTCTCAGGTTCAAGCGATTCTCCTGCCTCAGCCTCCTGAATAGGAGAATGGGGCTGCAGGTGTATGCTACCACGCCCGCTAATTTTTTTTTTTTTTTTTTTTTTTTTTTTTGTGACAGAGTTTCGCTGTTGTTACCCAGGCTGGAGTGCAATGGTGCAATCTCGGCTCACTGCAACCTCCACCTCCTGGGTTCAAACAATTCTCCTGCCTCATCCTCCCCAGTAGCTGGGACTACACGCGTGCGCCACCATGCCCAGCTAATTTTTGTATTTTTAGTAGAGACAGGGTTTCACCATGTTGACCAGGATGGTCTCGATATCTTGACCTCGTGATCTACGTGTCTCGGCCTCCCAAAGTGCTGGGATTATAGGCGTGAGCCACCGCACCCGGCCTTTTTTTTTTTTTTTAGTAGAGTTGGGGTTTCACCCTGTTAGTCAGGCTGGTCTCAAACTCCTGACCTCTGTGTGCCTCAGCCTCCCAAAGTCCTGGGATTACTGGTGTGAGCCACCATACCCAGCTCAGTTTTTTTTCAATTGCATCAATTTCTAGTCTTTTAATCTTATTATAAATACTTCGGTAAAGTTACTATCTTTCTGTAATATGGATAATCACTGTAATCAATCTGCTTTCTGTATTGGAGTTTTTACATAACAGGTTTTCTTAAAGTAGGCATCATGCTGGTGTAGCAGCATGTGAGTACTTTAGGGCTCAAGCGTGAGAAAAGACACATAGTTATTACTCTTCCTAGTTGCGCCTTGAAGGAGATCATAGTGAACTGTGTGATTGGTGAGAATAATATCACAGGAGAACATTCAAAACAAAGCGAGTCACTTCCTGTCCCTTCAGTGGCTTTATACTACTCTTTGCATAGTAACCAAATGCCATCATATAAGTTAGAAGATCCTGTGTTCTTCGGTTGTTTTTAATTCTTTAGTCTCATCTCATACCTCTTGCTGTCTATTCTGAGTTTTGTTTGGGTTTAGTTTCACTATTGTCTGGTGTTTTGTTTTGTTTTTTAGTTCCCCATTTGTACTATATTCTATCTAGTCTCAGAATCTATGGTTATGCTGTTTCTTTACCTAGAATCTATACACACATATTAAACATTATTCTTCCCATGACGTTCATTCAGCAGTCATCTTTAAAATCTTACCACAAATATCACTTACCTGTACATCAGCTCTACCCTAATTTTGTCAGGTTGCCTCTGTTATATATGCTTGTATCTCCCTGTACTTTACCTAAATATCACTTACCATAACTTGCAGTCATTGTATGTATGTTTAGTGAAAGAAACAATGCAAGCTCCATGTGGCATTAGAATGTCTTACCATTTTTTTATCCTTAGTACTGAACACATAGTAAAGACCAATAAAACATTTTTTTGTCATCTAACTGAATTTAATTTTTTCCCGGGAATTGAATAGGTTTCTTTTTTCTTTTCTTTTCTTTTTTTTTTTTTGAGATGGAGGTCTTGCTCTGTCACCCAGGCTGGAGTGCAGTGTCGCGTTCGTGGTTCACTGCAGCCTCGACTGGGCTTAGGAGATCCTCCTACCTTAGGCTTAGTCTCCTGGGTCGCTAGGACCACAGGTGCATGCCACCACGCCTGGCTAATTTTTGTAGAGAGAGAGTCTCCCTATGTTACTCAGGCTGGTCTCAAACTCCTGGGTTCAAGCCGTCTTCCCATCTCAGCCCCTCAAAGTGCTGGAGTTGTAGGTACAAGCCATCACACCCAGCCTGAAAAATTTGTATGAGTCTGTTGAGACTGGTATAAATACGGAGGAAACGTATGTTTATATAAATTGTTTCTACTTTTAAAATATTCTTCGGTTCTCAAAAGTTTTTTTTGTTTGTTAGTTTTTTTTTGAGACAGAGTCTTGCTCTGTCGCCCAGGCTGGAGTGCAGTGCTGGATCTAGGCTCACTGCAGCCTCCGCCTCCTGGGTTCCAGCAGTTCTCCTCCCTCAGCTTCCTGAGTAGCTGGGATTGCAGGCATGTGCCACAACACCTAGCTAATTTTTTGTATTTTTGGTAGAGATGAGGTTTCACCATGTTGGCCAGGCTGTTCTCAAAATTCCCGACCTCAAGTGACCTACCCACCTCAGTCTTCCAAAGTACTGGGATTACAGACCTTAGCCACTGTGCCAGGCCATCAAAAGTATTTGTGTCTAGGTCAGTAATTCTTCCCTCCCTCTACCCCCTTCCCCAACAAAGTTTTTGAAAATATGATAAAAGTCATGAATCTTCTTTCCAGAAGAATGCACGTGTGTGTAATGTTTCCAAAGTTAATGGATACCTTGATCTGGGCCAACTGTTACTAATTATAGTTTTAGTATGACAAGGATATTTTCAAAATCTTTCAGAGGTTCAGTGATAGGTTTGCGTGCAAGGTAACCCAGTGGAGGTACAAGAGACGTTAAAACTAGGAGTCAGAAAACTTGGCTTCTTTGAGTGAAACTGTCGGACTTGTCTTGTCTTTGGTCTACTCCGTGTCAAATTGGTATAGTTGAAAGTACTTAAGTTTTCCTGTCAAGAAGACCTGAGGTGGTGGTTGTCTTGTTTGCTACTTACCCTTTTATAAACCTGGACAAGTTCTCTGAATGCTATTTTATTTTTTTTTTGTAAAAATAAGGAATATGATACCAACTTTTTAGTTGTAAAGATTAAATAAAAAGAGGTGTTTGAAAAAACTTAAGACTTGTTACTGGTAGGGACATAAATGAATATTATCTTAAAAAACCAGTGAAACTAAAATTAAACTTTCTCTAAGGTATCTTTTACCAATAATATTTTATAATTTTATTTTAAACAGTTTTTGTTACAGCAGAATCATTTAGGAAATTTGTTACAGCGGCATTGACCTGAAATCACATGGGAGAGCAGGGAAGGATTAAACTGATGTTGGTCTTGCTGTCCATAGCCTACAGTGCTGGACATGTAGTGATTCTCAAACACTTGCTGCAATTTTAAGAACATCTCAACAAAGAAAAAAGGAAAGAAAAAACATCTGGTTATGTCCTGGAGCCTATAGAGCCTGAAAGAAAAAGAAAAGAAGATCCTGTGATGAAAGTCTTCTGGTGTTAGGTGATGCAGTTGGAGAGGTCATATCATTTAGGACTTTGTAAATATGAATAAGAAATCTGAATTTCATTCTAAATATAATAGGAAGCCATGTAAGGATTTTAAGCTGGAGCATGATAAGAAAAGGAAACTCAAGATAGCACCCTGGTGACTCCAGCATTTTTAAGTTTAAGCTTTCAGAAGAATAGCCAGTGAGTTAGGAAGGATGGAGGAGGGGAGTGTGGTTCATTAAAACTTGTAAGGAGGGAGTAGTCATCTGTTTCATATCTTGTTGAGAAGACAAAGATCAGAACAAGGACTTGACCAAGCTTGCCGTAAGAACAGAATGGCTGTGAAGTCAATATAGTTCTAAAACATGCTGTAGCAAAGAAGTATAGGCCACACAAGGAACTTAAAAGAGGCATCTAACAGTATATAAAACTCAGAAGAATATCTGAAACTTAAAAATAAACCCATAGTCTCTTTTTATCTCATTACTCCCACCAAATTTGACGATAAAGTATTTAAGGTACTTTTTATTTTAGGCCATTTACAAAGAAATACTCTTTATTGATGTGGAACATACATAAAAGTGCACGTAAGTGAAGAGCTTGATACATTTTCACAACTAACGAAACCCATGTAAATGATACCCAGATCAAGAAACACAATATTACTAGTTTCCTTAAAAAGAGTTATTTATTTATTTATTTCTTAAGACAGAGTCTCACTCTGTCAGCCAAGCTGGAGTGTAGTGGCATGATCTTGGCTCTCTGCAACCTCTGCCTCCCAGGCTCAAGCGATTCTCATGCCTCACCCTCCTGATTAGCTGGGATTACAGGTGCCTGTCACCACACCCGGCTAATATTTGTATTTTTAGTGGAGATGGGGTTTCACCATGTTTGGCCAGGCTGGTTTCAACTCCTGACCTCAAGGGATCCACCCGCCTTGGCCTCCCAAATTGCTGGGATTACAGACATGAGCCATTGTGCCCAGCCAAGATTAAGTTTTAGATATATTTATTTTTTAAAATGAGAGACTTAAATAAACTTAAGAGACTTGGGTCCTGGATCTAACTTTATTACTAATTTCAAGTGTCCCCTCAGGCAGGGTACTACTTCCCATCTCTAAAATGAGGGAATGGAACTAGATGTTTTATCATGGCTCCAAATCTGTGAAAGTGTAAAAAGATGGATTACAGTGGTACAAATGTGGTATAAAAAGTTGTGGAACAAGACTGGACTCGTGGTTCTTTTTCAGCATTTTAATTGGAAAGAAAGACATGCAATTTTTTCCCTTTTTTTTTTTTTTGTTTTCCAGGTTATATTTCACACTATGTGCTGACTGTATCTACAGAAGATATTTAAAAAAAAAGATAAACTTTTTTTCAAAGATTTTGATTCCAGTGGAATCTTTGCTTTAGATTTGTGTGTGTGTTTGTGTTCGTGAATTGTAACTCCAGAAGCAATGCCTGTACAAGCTCCACAATGGACGGATTTCCTCTCCTGCCCAATTTGCACTCAGACTTTCGACGAAACAATTCGAAAGCCCATCAGTTTGGGTTGTGGCCATACTGTCTGCAAGATGTGCCTAAATAAACTCCACCGCAAGGCTTGCCCATTTGACCAGACCACTATCAATACAGACATTGAGCTCCTCCCTGTGAACTCAGCATTGCTGCAGCTTGTGGGTGCTCAGGTAAGATGGGTGACTTAATACTTTCAAATTTGTGTGTGTGTGTGTGTGTGTGTGTGTGTGTGTGTGTGTGTGTGTGTGTGTTGTGTGTTTTTGTCCTGAGAGAAACCTGTTGAATTAAAATTGGGTAACATTGCCTTCTACTTAAATAGGTATAATTCTGTTTGGTACTGCAAACCCTTTATTTCAGCATGTTGAATTTATTGTGGTAGGTAGCCCAGTGCCTTTTAGTCATAGCACAGTAACATCCATTTAATCTTGTCAGATACTCAATAAACCTAGCTATGCAGATCACTAGAGAAACCTAAGGCCAGGTGTGGTGGCCTCACGCCTGTGATCCCAGTACTTTGGGAGGCCGAGGCGGGTGGATCATTGGAGATCAGGAGTTTGAGATCACCCTGGCCAATGTGGTGAAATCCTGTCTTAACCACAAATACAAAAATGTTAACTGGGCGTGGTGGTGTGCACCTGTGATCCCAGCTATTCGGGAGGCTGAGGCACGAGAATTGCTTGAACCTAGGAGGCAGAGATTGCAGTAAGCCGAGATCACACCACTGCACTCCAACCTGGGTGACAGAGTAAGACCCTGTCTCAAAAAAAAACCTAAGATGTAAGTAATAAGAACCTCTTTTTAACATTGAAAAAAATATTGTTTATAAAACCACTACACTTTACTCAGTAGGGAAGGTGCAGCTGCGTCAGGCAGCTTTACTCAGTAGATGTTAACGGAAATGAAAGACGAAAAGGGTGGCAAAACTATAGCACAACGTTTGGGAACCATTAGAGCATACTTAATGTATTACAGACCTAAAAATGGTTAAGATGGTACATTTTGTGTTATGTATATATTATCAGAATTAAAAATTATTTTTTTCTTTCATCTAAAAGGAAAGAAAAATAAATTAGACTTTAAAATAGATTATCACCAATTTGTCCTAGGAATGTAAGGTTGATTTAACATCTGCAAATCAATTAGTAATTTACTATATCAATAAACATTTCAAAATTGCACACATACGATCATCTCAGTAGACACAAAAAAAGCATTTGGCAAAATTGAATACCTTTTCATGATAAAAGCGCTGAAACAACTAGGAAAGAAACTTCTTCAACCCGATAAAGGACATGGATGAAAAACCCACAACTAACATACTGAATGGTGAAAAACTAGATTCTTTTTCTTAAAGATCAGGAACAAGTCAAGGAACTCCACTCTTAACTATTTCTGTTCATCATCATACAGGACCTTCTAGCCAGGGCAATTAGGCAAGTAAATTAAACCAATGACATTCAGATAAGAAGGAAAAAAGTGAAAACTATCTCATTCACAGATGACTTGGTCTTATATATAGAAAATGTTAGGAAATCTACAAAGGAAAAGCTAATAGGAACAAAAAACTAGTTAGGCAAAGTTACAGGATATAAGATGAGTATATAAATATCAGTTGTCTGAAAAAGCAAAAGTCTTTCAAAGGTATAAAAATGTGTTTACAATGTTTCATAATCTTTCTTTTTTTCTTGCTCTGTCGCACAGGCTGGAGTGGCACAATCTTAGCTCACTGCAACCTCCGCCTCTCCAGTTCAAGTGTTTCTCGTGCCTCAGCTTCCCAAGTAGCTGGGATTACAGGTGTGCACCACCATGCCCAACTCAGTTTTGTCTTTTTAGTAGAGACGGAGTTTCACCATGTTGGCCAGGCTGGTCTCCAGCTCCTGGCCTCAAGTGATCCACCCGCCTGAACCTCCCAGAGGGCTAGGAATACAGGCATGAGCCACCAAATACCCAGCTAGTGTTGTGTACTTTCATCCACAATATGTTACTAATAGTTTTCTTACACATATAAGAAAGACTGTCTGGCACATAGTAGGCCCTTACTAAAGATTTGTTAAATAAATAATATATGTTACATTTCTATACACTAGCAATGGACACTCTGAAAACAGAAATCAATTTCATCTATAAGAGCATCAAAAAAATAAAATACTAAGAATATATTTAACAAAAGAAATGTAAAACTAGGCCAGGTGTAATGGCTCACGCCTGTAATCTCAGCATTTTTGGAGGCCAAGGCTTGCAGATCTCCTGAGGCCAGGAGTTCCAAGACCAGCCTGGCCAACATGGTGAAACCCCATCTCTACCAAAAAATACAAAAATTATCCAGGCATGAGGGTGCACACCTGTAATCCCAGCTACTCAGGTGGCTGAAACAGGAGACTGGATTGAACCTGGGAGGTGGAGGTTGCAGTGAGCTAAGATTATACCACTGCATTCCAACCTGGGTGACAGAGCATGACTGTAAAAAAAGTAAAACTGTATTTTGAAGACTACAAATCATTGTTAAAAGAAACTTAAGACTTGACTAACCATTTATTCATATTAACTCAAAATGGATCAAAGGCTAAATATAAGAACTAAAACTATGAAATTCTTAGAAGAAAATACAGACATAAGTCTTCATGACCATGGAATAGGCAGTGGGTTTTTTTTGTTTGTTTTTTAAGATATGACAAAAAGCACAAGAAACAAAAGAAAAAGATAAGTTGAACTTCATCAAAACTAAAAACTGTGTTTCAAAGATACGTTCATATTGGCCGGGTGCAGTGGCTAATGTCTGTAATCTCAGCACTGTGGGAGGCCAAGCTGAGTGGATCATTTAAGACCAGCCTAGGCAGCATGGCAAAACCCCATCTCTACAGAAAATACAAAAAAGAAAAATTTCCTGAGTGTGGTGGCACAGGCCTGTAGTCCCACCTGTCTGGGAGGCTGAGGTGGAAGTATCACCTGAGCCCAGGAGGTCAGGGCTGCAGCGAGCTGCAGAACTATGTTCTAGTTTGGGCAACAGAATGAGACCCTGTCTCAAAAACAACAGCAATAACAAAAAACAAAGATACGAACAAGAAAGCAAAAAGAACAACCCACAGAATGTATGAAAGCAATTGTAAAATCATATTTCTGATAAAGACATATACAGAATATATAAAGAACTCTTACAACGCATTGATTAAAAAAAAACCCCAATTTTCAAAATGGACAAAGAGCTGAGCAATCACCTCAGCAAACAGATTATACAGATGGCAGATCAGCAAATGAAAAATAGCTCAGCAGTTGTCTTTAAGGAACTGCAAATTAAAGCAAGTGAGATACCACTACACACCAATTAGAATGGCCAAAATCCAAACATTAGCAACACCAAATGCTGGTGAGGATATGGACCAACAAAAACTCTAATTCTGGTCGGGCGTGGTGGCTCACGCCTGTAATCCTAGTACTTTTGGAGGCTGAGGCAGGCAGATCACGAGGTCAGGAGTTCAAGACCAGCCTGACCAATATGGTAAAATCCCATTTCTACTAAAAATACAAAAATTAGCTGGGTGTGGTGGCTTGTACATGTAAACCCAGCTACTCAAGAGGCTGAGGCAGAGAATCGCTTGAACTATGTAGGTGGAGGTTGCAGTGAGCCGAGATCATGCCACTGCACTCCAGCCTCCGTGACAGAACAACTCTGTCTCAAAAAAGAAAAAAGAAAAAAGAAAAAAAACTCTGATTCTTTTGGAAATGAAAAATGGTATAACCACTTTGAAAGACAGTTTGGCAGTTTCTTTATGAACTTAACATAGTAGGTATTAACCCAACTAACTTGAAAATTTATATCTACACAGAAACCCTCATATGACTATTTATAACAACTTTATTCATGATTGCCAAAAAAATGGAAGTAGTTGAGATATCATTTAATAGGTGAATGGATAAACAGTAGTGTATCCATACAATGGAACATTGTATAAAATGAAATAATAAAAAGACATAGCTGTCAAGTCTCAAAAAGACATGCTTACATCTCAATGTATATCATTGCTAAGTGAAAGATACCAGTATGAAAAGGCTACATACTGTATGATTCCAATTATATGATATTATATAAAAGATAAAACCATAGCAACAATAAAAATATCAGTGGTTGCCATGGTATTCAGGAGGAGGGATGGAGGATTGAATTGGTGAAATACAGAGTATTGCTTAGGACAGTAAAACTATTCTTTATGATTCTGTAATTGTGGCTATATGACACTCTGAATTTTTCAAAAACTGTAGAACTTTACAAAGATTATGGGAAACAATCTGAAATATATGAAACAATTTCACTAAAGGGGTGGAGGAGAAAGGTGGATTGTGTAAGATTAAAGATAGAGGAAGATATTATCTGTAAGTAGTGTACTCTAGTCTTTTCCCATGGGGGTAGGAATTAATTCTGATGCAGCTGTATGTATAATACATATTGGAATTGAACAGTTAAGTAAATGAATGGCAAACGATTGGAGCCAGTTTTCTCACTGTTAAAGTTTACAGATAAGCAAGGAAGAAGACATTCGAATGATTCATGTGGCAATGGATTCAAGTTGGAGTCATAATATAAACTCATGTTTAGCTTGATATGGATACAGAAATAGATATGTGTACATCTCGGGTTATTACACTAACATAATTCCTTGCTCTTCCATCTAAGATGGCCTAGAAGGAACAACATCCCAATAGCAATATGCATTCATATCTTGGTTTCTAATACCATTCTCCAATAAAAGAAACCAGAGTTCCTTGGAGAAATGGCCAATTCTGACACTGGGACAGCAAATATACAAAATGAGCCTGGAGTAGCTTGTAGTACTGGAAAGTATGGAGAAGTATTCAGAACATACATAAACACATACACAGAGTAATGGGGGCTGTATCAAAGGCACACAGGAGCCAACTAATGTTTTAGCTCTCAATGGCCAAAGCTAAAACAGTTTGAATGACAAAATAAATGGGATTGGATTATAACCCAGGTATAAGATAAATATACCTGAGTCTACACAATAAAATTAAATGATTGAATAAATAAATGGAAGAAAGAGACAAGTCTCCCATGCAGAATTCCAAAATAATTACATGGATACTCTGCCTTCAAGGATGTAGAATGTGTGTAGGCTACACATAGTGACTCCTTCCAAAAAGTACAGTTTGGAAGGTGGGAGATACGTAACGTTATAGTGGAGAAACCTGGTAAATGCTGACTAAACCAGCTGATCAAGTTTAATGTCAGCAATAATAAGTTGTGTTGGTGCTATGTATCTTTGATATAATGTGATGAAACTGGCGCTTTTCCCCTATGATCGTGCTTCCAAAATCCATAACCCCAGAATACTCATGAGAAAAATGACAGATCCCAGATCCCAGTTTAGGGGCATTCTACAACATATCGGACCAGTGCTCCTCAAAACTGTCAAGGGCATTAAAACAAGGAAAGTCTGAGAAACTGTCCAAGTCAAGAGGAGCTTAAAGAGACTTGGAAGGGCCAGTGCAGTGGCTCATGCCTGTAATGCCAGCACTTTGGGAGGCTGAGGCGGGCAGATCACTTGAGGCCAGGAGTTTGAGACCAGCCTGGCCAATACAGTGAAATCCCATCTTTACTAAAAATAGACAAAATTAGCTGGGCATGGTAGCACATGCTGTAATCCCAGCTACTTTTGCGTGAGACTCTCTTGAACCTGGGAGGTGGAGGTTGTAGTGAGCTAGATTTTGCCACTGTGCTCCAACCTGGGCAACAGAGTGAGACCTTGTCTCAATTTAAAAATAAAAGAGAGAAAGAGAAACATGGAAGGAGAAAAGGAGGCCAAGGTGGGTGGATGACGCCAAGCCCAGGAGTTCGAGACCAGCCTGGGTGATGTAATAGGACCCCCATCTCTACAAAAATTACAAAATTAGCTGGGTGTGGTAATGTGTGCCTATAGTCCCAGTTGCTCAGGAGGCTGAGGTGGGGGATCACTTGAACCTGGGAGGCAGAGGTTGCAGTGAGCCCAGATGTTGTCACGGTACTCCAGCCTGAGTGACAGAGCAAGATTCTGTCTCTGGACACTAGATGTAATATGCTATCCTGGATGGGATCCTGGAACTGAGAAAGAACATTAGGTGAAAACTAAGGATATCTGATTAACATATAGATTTTAGTTGTTAATTATGAATATGTTGATACTGGCTCATTAATTTTAACAAATATACCATACTTGCTGGGCGCGGTGGCTCACGCCTATAATCCCAGTACTTTGGGAAGCCAAGGCGGGCAGATCACCTGAGGGCAGGAGTTCAAGACCAGCCTGACCAACATGAAGCAACCCCATCTCTACTAAAAATACAAAATTAGCCGGGCATGGTAATGCATGCCTGTAATTCCAGCTAGTTGGGAGGCTGAGGCAGGAGAATTGCTTGAGCCTGGGAGGTGGAGTTTGTGGTGAGCCAAAATCATGCCATTTCACTCCAGCCTGAGCAACAAGAGCAAAACTCTGTCTCAAAAAAAAAAAAAGTACCATACCAATATAAGATGTTAATAGGGAAAACTGAATACAGGATAATGAGAATTCTGTGTATTACCTTTGCCAATTTGCTGTAAATCTAAAACTGTTTTACAAAATAAAGTTTATTAGGAAAGATGGACAGAGGATCTGATTAGACATTTCTCCAAAGAAGATACACAGATGGCTAATAAGCATATGAGAGAATGGTCACCATCGTTAGCTATCAGGGAAATACAAATCAAAACCACAATGAAGGGGGAGGAAGGTAGATGGGAAGAGATAATTATCAAAGAATACAAAGCTTCAGTTAGCCTGGAGGAATAACTTTTAGTGATCTATTGCACAGCATAGTGATTATAAATAGTAATACATTGTATGTTTCAAAACTGCTATAACAGTAGATTTTATTTAAAATTTACAAAAAACAATGTGTGAGGTGATGGATTTGTTAACCTGATTTAGTCATCTCACATTGTGAATGTATCAATCAAAACATCACATTGTACCCCATAAATATACGCAATCGTTATTAATTTTGAAAAGCCACAATGAATTACTGCTTTTCAGCCACCAGGATCGCTATATAAAAAAAGATAGGCCATTTTGCTCACGTGGAAGCTCCACGGTAGGGTGGGAGCCCAACCAGGATCTCCGCGGGCTGTGCGGCCGCCATGCTGTCATCCCCATGGGTGGCGGTGGTGTGCTCGAGCAGCCAGAACCAGAGCATGGAGGCGCACAACATCCTCAGCAAACGAGAAGTCAGCGTCCGATCCTTTGGAACAGGAACTCAGGTGAAGCTTCCAGGACCAGCTCCCGGCAAGCCCAGTGTTTATGATTTCAAAACCACATATGGCCAGATGTACAATGATCTCCTTAGGAAAGACAAAGAACTCTATACACAGAATGGCATTTTGCATATGCTGGACAGAAATAAGCGAATCAAGCCCCGCCAGAAAGGTTCCAGAACTACAAAGCCCTGTTTGATCTGATCCTCACTTGAGGTGGTGGAAGATCTGAATTCCAGAGAACAGGAGACCTGCCAGCTAGTGCAAGTGGTCAACGTGGACATCCAGGACAACCACGAGGAGGCCACCCTGGGGGCGTTGCTCATCTGTGAGCTCTGCCGGTATATCCATCCCAAGGAGGACACGGAGAGCAAGACTGAGGAGCTGCTGCAGGAGTTCAAGAAGAGCAGGCATACCTTCCTGCACACCTGCCCCCTCCCGGGCCGAGGGCCGCCTTCTCCAGCTTCCTTTTGTTCATACTTTTTCCTTCCTGCTGTTTGTTTTTGCTTATAGGTGTTCTGCTGGTGACAGTAGCATTACCCAAATAAACTGTGCATATGAAACGGGAGGAGGAGAGGTCTAAATGCCACATTAAAGCCATCAAGTTTTTTCTGTCCCACTTTTACTTATGAGCAGGATATTGATTATAGTTTTTTTCTTTAACCAAAAAGGAAAGACAGTGGTTTGTGTTCACTTCCCCACCATCCCTGTGTCTCCGTGCGCCCTCTCCGTCCCTCCTCCCCACCTGGCCAGACTGTACATAACCCTGCTGTGGTGTGTTAGGAATGACCTGGAATTGTCCAATAGACAGTGCTGTCCAAAAAAGAAAAAAAGATAATAAGTATGTAGAAGAATTTGAATCCTTATACACTCTGGTAGGTATATAAAATGCACTCTGCTTTTGGAAAATAGTCTGGCAGTTTTTCAAAAGTTTAAATATAGATTCCTAGGTATATGCCTAAGAGAAAAACTTTTGTCTACATAAAAGCTTGTACACAGATGTTCGTAGCAGCATTATTCATAATAGTCAAAAAGAAATAACCCATATGTCTGTCAACTGATGATTGTGTAAATAAAGTGTGATATGTTTATACAATGGAATGTTACTCAATGATGAAAATGAAGTACCGATACAACCCGGGAGACCCCTGAAAACATTGTTAAGTGAAAGAAGCAAGTCAGAAAAGACTCTATATTGTATTGATTTTGCTTATGTGAAATGTCCAGAATAGGCAAATCCAAAGAAAATAGATCCATCTTTCTAAGGGTTGGTGGGTGGTTGTAAAGAAATAAGGGGTAGCTGTTAAAAGGGTACTGTTTCTTCTTGGGGTAATGTAAAGGTTCTAAAGTTGATTGTGGTTATGTTTGCACAACTGTGAATATACTGGAAACCATGGCATTGTATATACTTTAAACCAGTCAGTTGTATGGTAGGTGGATTTTATCTTAATTAGGCTGTTAGAGAAACAAAACAAAGGAATGCAAAGATACATGTTAATAGGAAAGATCTTTTGAAAGAATTCTGCAAATTTACGGGGAGTTTTCATTTAGCATTGTGAGTACATAAACTATACTAAATAAAACATATAATTAGTGAACGAGCACTCAAACAGATCTTTTCTTTTGGCCTCCAGGTCCCTGAGCAGCAGCCCATTACTTTGTGTAGTGGGGTGGAAGACACAAAGCATTATGAAGAAGCCAAGAAATGTGTAGAAGAATTAGCATTGTACTTAAAACCGCTCAGCAGTGCTAGAGGTAAGTTTGTTTTTGTTTTTTATTTAAAGAGTAAAATTGCTTTCTTAAATACTCAGTACATAATCTTAATATTAGAAGTCCGGAGGAGTTCACTAAAAACCTAACGAGAGGTAAATTTGATGCAATTATCCATACTAAGTAAATGTCTACTAAAGAAACTTCTGTTACCATAAAATTGTGAGCTATTAAGTGAATGTTAATGAAATTTATGAAACCAAATTTAGTAAACCAAACTCATTTTGTGCTCAATATCATTACACAAACCACATCAAATTAAGTAGTGAATTTTGAGTTTATGTGATGATGGAAACATTATTTGAATGATGGTAAAAGCAGGTATAACTACTTACTTCAGAAGGGCTTTCCATCATTTGACAACTCTGAGTGGTTCGCCTGCTATCCGGTTTTATATGCTTTGCTATAGTGGGTATAATAAATATGGAAGTTGCCATTAACTGCACAGAAGGGGCTTGCTATTTAATTAGGAAAGTAAGATTAACCACTATGGAATAATATACCAGAACTCTTAGGGCCTCAAGATTTAGATTATAAACTAATTATCAATGTTGTCTAGTCTTTTTTTCTTATTTCCTCAACAATTAAAATGAGTAGTGGTATATTTAATGTTGTAATGAGTGTTAAGTGTACATGAAATAACTCATATATACATTTGTATACTTTAAAAATATATACATAAGTAGGCTTTACCTGTGTGGTTTTATTTGTTTTTTATTTTAAATACTCTAGTAGAACCCAGAACTATTCACATACCCACAAGTTAACCCAACAGAGGAATTGCTCCTGGACTTTAAAATTGCATTGTGAACCTAGAAATAACTTCCTTACTCTTTTAAAGGAGTGGGTCTGAACAGCACTACTCAGAGTGTTCTGAGTCGCCCAATGCAGAGGAAGCTTGTGACTCTGGTCCACTGTCAACTAGTAGAAGAAGAAGGCAGGATTCGTGCCATGAGGGCAGCTCGATCTTTAGGTGAACGGACAGTTACAGAGCTCATTCTCCAGCACCAGAATCCTCAGCAGCTCTCCTCCAATCTTTGGGCAGCAGTAAGGGCTAGGGGCTGCCAGTTCCTTGGACCAGGTACATAATTAAGTTTTCGTATTTATTCTGCTGGTAATTCTAAAAGTATGATGTAGGAATTATAAGTGATGTACTAAAACTTTTCTCTCTCTCTTTTTTTTTTTTTTTTTTTTTATGGTTTGTCTCCAGGATAAAAACACAAAACTTTTCTCTAATGCTAAAATTTTTTTTTTTTAATTTTTAAATTTTTTTCATTTTTTCACACCTGTAGCAGAAAGTTCATTCATTTTGATAGAAGTTTTTCTTTTTTTTTTTTTTTTTTTGAGACAGAGTGTCGCTCTGTCGACAGACACCAGGCTGGAGTGCAGTGGCGCATTCTCGGCTCACTGCAACCTCCACTTCCCGCGTTCAAGCAATTCACCTGTCTCAGCCTCCCGAGTAGCTGGGACTACAGGTGTGCGCCACCACACCCAGCTAATTTTTTTGTATTTTTAGTAGAGACGGAGTTTCACTACGTTGGCCAGGATGGTCTCGATCTCTTGACCTCGTGATCCGCTCATCTCGGCCTCCCAAAGGGATTACAGATGTGAGCCACCGCACCCGGCGATAGAAGTTTTTCTTAAATGCATTAATCACTTAGCTGATTTCTTCATAAAATATATAGAATGTAGTACAAAATTGCCCATAAAAATGGTTTGAAAAGTGTGTTGCTGGTTAATTTTATTGTGTTGCCAGTTAATTGAGTGATAGCTGCCGACACGATTGAGTATTCCCTTTCTAATACATGGATTTACCTTATTTATATACTTGATAAATTTTGGTTTTGCCCAACTTTCCCTAGCAATGCAGGAGGAAGCTTTAAAGCTGGTTCTGCTGGCCTTAGAAGACGGTTCTGCTTTGTCAAGAAAAGTATTGGTTCTCTTTGTGGTGCAAAGGTTGGAGCCACGGTTTCCTCAAGCCTCTAAAACTAGCATTGGGCATGTTGTTCAGCTCCTTTATAGAGCCTCCTGTTTCAAGGTATGAACCTACCTTAAAGCTCAGCTTGAAAGGAAAACATAGTTCTTTCCCCAAACTTAAGTAGTAAAACTTTGAGTTTAATGAAGTTGCCTGTGTCTTTTCAGAAAATTTCAACAATTTTTCTTTATTCTTTTAAAGAATGTAGATAGTGTCTTATTATAGTTAAATCCTATTATATTGAATTTTTATATGTTCAGTATTGAACAATATAGATCAAATCAAGGTTTATAGATTTTTGTATTTGAAGAGACTAAGAAACTATGTCACCAAGACTATGCAGAATTGGCCTGAAAGAGAGAGTTATTGAAGCACAGGCTGGAGTGCAGTGGTGTGATCTCAGCTCACTGCAACCTACACCTCCTGGGTTCAAGTGATTCTCCTGTCTCAGCCTCCTGAGTAGCTGAGATTGCAAGCAGGGCCAGCCTGGCTTGCTAATTTTTGTATTTTTAGTAGAGATGGGGTTTTGCCATGTTGGACAGGCTAGTCTTGAACTCCTGACCTCAGATGATCTGCCTGCCTGGGCCTCCCAAAGTGCTGGGATTAAAAGGGTGAGTCACCAAATAGATTTTATTCAGAGATTTTCTCCTAGTGTAATTTCTCATATACAATAATGAAGCTCCGTTTGCCATTTCAGTTTATATGGTAATGCTGGACATAGTCTCTTATCCCAAATTGAATCAGCGCTGCCTCAAATATTGTTACTCATGTACCATTTATTGTGCGTCCAGTATTATTTTTCTGACTTTTTCTTTTTTTTTGAGATGCAGTCTTGCTCTGTCACCCAGGCTGTAGTACAGTGGTGCAGTCTCAGCTTACTGTATCTTCTGCCTCCTGGGTGAAGCAGTTCTCCAGCCTTAGCCTCCTAAGTAGCTGGGATTACAGGCACCTGCCACCACACCCAGCTAATTCTTTTTTTTTTAATTTTTGTAGAGACAGGGTTTTACCATGTTGGCCAGGCTGGTCTTGAAATCCTGACCTCAGATGATCTGCCCACCTCAGCCTCCCAAAGTGCTGGGACTACAGGTGTGAGCCACCAGAGCTAGCCTATTTTCCTGACTTTTAAAAATCAAACTGTCTTGATTCTGGCACAGCTCATAACCAGTACTTGAAAACCGTGTCTTTTAAAAACAATTGTTAATTCATTCATGTTAGCTGTAAGGAAATGCATTCTCAGATCACCACATTCTGTAATCTGACACACATAAACTAAAAAACCGCCACATTAGCTATCCTACTAAATTCTATTATCTCATCCTTTGAGAAGGAGGAAATCGTTCACAAAATTAACCGGAGAGCATACAGATTTCATTTAAACAAAAACAATTTTAAATCTAGCTAAATGGTGACCTTATTCTGTTTCTTTGTGGAGTCAGACTATATACTGAAAATGGGCCTCTATTTTCTGTGGGTGCCTCTGGAGCTCTAAGAACCCCTAGCTAAAATTACTTTAACTGGTCAGATTGTCTCTGAATAACTCACTCCTTGTAGTGGTTAGAGTAACGTGATTTTACAGTGTAGTAAATCATGTTTACAGACTATGTTCTAGAGTGTCTGTCTGCTTCCAGTGTTAATTGTCCATTAACAGCACCAGACAGCTATAATATAGGAAGCTTCGGAAAGAAAAAATGCAACCTTCCCCTGTGAGTTTAAAAGAAAGAAAATATTCAGCCTTCCCCTGTGAAAAGAATACATGATCAAGAAAATCCGGAATACCCATGAAGCGAACCTCTCTGAACTCTAAAGCATTAACAGTAATATGGCCGGGTGCAGTGGCTCACGCCTGTAATCCCAGCACTTTGGGAGGCCGAGGGAGATGTATTGTTTGAGGTCAGGAGTTTGAGACCAACCTGGCCAACATGGTGAAACCCTGTCTCTACTAAAAAAATTTTTTAAATTACCTGGGTGTGGTGGCATGCATCTGTAATCCCAGCCACTGGGGAGGATGAGGCAGGAAAATTGCTTGAACCCAGAAGGCAGAGGTTGCAGTGAGCCGAGATTACACCACTGCACTCCAACCTGGGCAACAGAGCGAGACTCCACCTCAAAAAAAAAAAAAAAAAAAAGCGTTAACAGGAATAAAGAAAATTGGAAATTTGCAAAAATCTGCTTTTTCACTCAGGTCATGATTATTTTCTTTGCAGGAATATGTGTCTATACAGCTGTGTTCTGACTGGGTCCTTTTAGTATCTCCTATATTTCCATTTGAACAGCCCTTTTGAGCTACAGGATAATTTGTTCTTTCTTAGTACAGTAAAGTTCTGAGACTTAGACGTTTCATCTCTTGGAAATCCTTGATTGTTTTTAGTTAAAGAGAGTGGTGAGAGCCAAGTTCAGGGAACCATTATTACATACAGAAAGCATGCTCTGCATTTTAATAAGGTTCAGCATATATTGAGGGGATGCTAAACATGCATTTGGTCTTTTGGCTTGCCTTTTAATAATGGCACAATATATTCAGTTTTTGTGACTGTAGTTCTTGATTTTTATCAATTTGGTTTGCATATGTATGTTTCTAACAAAATGTAAGTTAGACTTTCTTCCTTGTAATGAATAAATGTATTCTAATAGAATACATCCCACAAGACTCACTCTCTCAAAAAACAATGTATACGTTTATTTATTAATTTGTTTTTTGAGAGAGAGAGTCTTGCTTGGGATCAAGCAATCCTTCCACCCAGCCTCACCAGTAGCTGGACTACAGGCACATGCCACCACGCATGTTAATTTTATAGCAGTGTGACTTAGAAGTCCTGATTACAATATTTTGTAGTTTCTTTGGTGAGAGGGATGAAAATGGGAATTTTGTACAATAAGAAGATGACTCCTTGTGGTAATAAAATGTTAACAAGGCAAAATGTATTCTAAAACATGTTAGGGTAGAGGTTATCTTAGACTAGAATTAATTAGTTTACTTTGATTTGTTAAGCATTTGGCCTAAATCCAACTTGACTCAGAATATAAGTTATTGGGGTGATATCAATATACCTACCTCAACAAGTTGAGAGAAGTAAATGAGTTAATCCAGTACTATAATGGTTAATAATGTAATTTAATATATTGGCTGGCACATACTAAGTGCTGAAAAAGTGGTAGCTATTTTTATTACTAAATGATATTATCATTATTATGACTAGTCTAGCATCTCACACTTTGCATTTTCTGGTCGGAGCCCATCCCACAAAACTCCCTGGAAAATTAAGGCAAGTACAAATTAAATCATTTTTAGAATCGCACCAGCATCTGAAGCTATACAGTCATCAGTCCCAACCAGCTCATTGTCAGGCAAGCCCAGGAGTCACAATCCATATTTATGGAGAAGAAACGTATTGTTTTTCAGAATATATAATTGTATTAGTGTTTCCTTTTTTTCAAAAATGTATATACATACACATACACCTTAAACTGCACGTATGTGTTAAAGTCTATCAAATCTTTGGATTTCATTCCAGCACATGCAGATTGACTATCCCTAACACAAAAATCCAAAATCCAAAACTTTTGAACAGCAACATGATGCTCACATGCTCATTGGAGCATTTCAGATTTTCAGATGAAGGATGCTCAAGTGGTTTAATGCAGATATTCCAAAATTTGAAAAAATCTGAAATCTGATACAATTCTGACCTAAGCATTTTGGATAAGAGATTTTCAGTCTACATTGATGCTTTCTGAAAGGCCTACCAGAAAATGTTGGCCTAAATCCAACTTGATTCAGAATGTAAGTTATTGGGGTGATAATAATATACCTACCTCAACAAGTTGAGGAGAAAATATTTTGCAGGCAAATGGTATATTCCATTTTAATCTTGCTGTTGCTGCTAAATTTGTTACATTAAAAATTATGTGTTCATATAAAGCATAAACTCATTTTTTAAACTTTATTATGAGATTATTTGTCTCTTATTAGGTCACCAAACGCGATGAAGACTCTTCTTTGATGCAGCTGAAAGAAGAATTTAGAACCTATGAAGCTCTGAGGCGAGAACATGACTCCCAGATAGTGCAGATTGCTATGGAAGCCGGCTTACGAATTGCACCAGACCAATGGTCCTCTTTGCTTTATGGAGACCAGTCTCATAAATCTCACATGCAGTCCATTATTGACAAGGTAGAATCTTTTTTGTTCCTTACTTCTTAGACTAATCTTGGAGTTTTGGTAATCTGTGATTTGTTAATTCATTTAACAAATGCATGTTAAAGTGAATACTATATAGCTTTTGTAAATTGTATTTATAGCCAAGTGTCATGTCATAACTAATCACATTACAGTACTACTTTGTTCATATAAAGATTTGATTAGTTTATTTTTTGTTTTATTTTATATTGAATCTGGGTGTCACTCTGTGGCCCAGGCCCAACTGTGGCTCACTGCGGCCTCGATCCTCTGAGCTCAATTGATCCTCCCGTCTCAGCCTACCGAGTAGCTGGGACTACTGGCATGTACCACCACAGTCTGGCTAGATTGGTTTCTGATGCTTTATCTGACACTTTCCCACATTCCTTTGAGAGTCCACCATTTCTATTTTGTCATTGCCTTTCCCTTCATTTTTTGTTCTCTTAGAGTTTTGATCATTGTGTTAAACCCATTTTCTAAATGCTTTTATTATCTTTCTATAGCAGACATTTAATGATCTGGAAGATCTATACATTGAGGTTTCTTGTGGTTCTTCACCAGAATAATTATACAAAATAATACAGTTACCACCTTTCTAAGTTTGATCAAATTCCCAGTACACATATTCACTTTATCTGTTGTCTATTATGATGAAAGGCCATTAGAATAGATGTGAATTTTAGGTTAGGCTTCATTATTTGCCTTTTTTTTTTTTCTTTTGAGACATTCTTACTCTGTCACCCAGGCTGGAGTACAATGGTATGATCTTGGCTCACTGCAACCTTTGCCTCCTGGGTTCAAGCATTCTCCTTCCTCATCCTCCTAAGTAGCTGGGATTAGAGGCATGTACCACCTCGCCTGGCTAATTTTTTTGTGTTTTTAGTAGAGACGGGGTTTCACCATGTTGCCCAAGCTGGTCTTGAACTCCTGAGCTCGGGTGATTCCCCTGCATTAGCCTCCCAAAGTGCTGGGATTACAGGAGTGAGCCACCACGCCTGGCTGAGGCTCCAGTATCTTTACTCAAGAGCCATGTTTCTCTTAAAATCAGAGTAATACACGTTGGGAGGCCGAGGCGGGTGGATCACAAGGTCAGGAGATCGAGACCATCCTGATCAACATGGTGAAACTCCGTCTCTACTAAAGACACAAAAATTAGCTGGGCATAGTGGCGTGTGCCTGTAGTCCCAGCTACTTGGGAGGCTGAGGCAGGAGAACTGCTTGAACCCAGGAGTCAGAGGTTGCAGTGAGCCAAGATCGCGCCATTGCACTCCAGCCTGGGTAACAAGAGTGAAACTCCATCTCAAAAAAAAAAAAAAAAATCAGAGTAATACTGTAACTGTTTTTATTGTAAATCAACATGAAATATATGAAAGTGCTATAAAAACATGATGAAACCCCGTCTCTACTAAAAATACAAAAATTAGTTGGGTATGGTGGTGGGCACCTGTAATCCCAGCTACTCAGGAGGCTGAGGCAGGAGAATCGCTTGAACCCAGGAGGTGGAGGTTACAGTGAGCCAAGATCTCTGGCACTGCACTCCAGCTGGGCAACAGTGCAAAAAAAAAAGAAATCTTAAAACACCATATAATATATAGTATGTTCTATATTATTATTTAATTTTGCTATTGTATCTTTTCTTTTTGAGACAGAATTTCACTCCTGTCATCCAGGCTAGAGTGTGCTGGCGTGATCTTGGGTCACTGCAACCTCTGCCTCCCAGGTTCAAGCAATTCTCGTGCCTCGGCCTCCTGAGTAGCTGGGATTACAGGCATCTGCCATCATGCCAGGTTAATTTTCGTATTTTTAATAAAGGGTTTCACCATGTTGGCCAGGTTGGTCTCGAACTCCTGACCTCAGGTGACCCACCCGCCTTGGCCTCCCAAAGTGCTGGGATTACAGGCGTGAGCCACTGCGCCAGCAATTTCACTATTGTATCTCAAATGCTAGAATCACAGTGATGATTGCCAACCCTAGAGACCACTCTACATTTAACTTAAAGAAATAGAGTCAAGGCCGGGCGTGGTGGCTCACGCCTGTAATCCCAGCACTTTGGGAGGCCGAGGCGGGTGGATCACGAGGTCAAGAGATCGAGACCATCCTGGTCAACATGGTGAAACCCCGTCTCTACTAAAAATACAAAAAATCAGCTGGTTATGGTGGCGCGTGCCTGTAATCCCAGCTACTCAGGAGGCTGAGGCAGGAGAATTGCCTGAACCCAGGAGGCGGAGGTTGCGGTGAGCCGAGATCGCGCCATTGCACTCCAGCCTGGGCAACAAGAGTGAAACTCCGTCTCAAAAAAAAAAAAAAAAAAAAAGAAATAGAGTCAAATAGTAAGATTAAACTAAAAAACAAATAATTAACGTTTACTAAAATGGTATCTAGTGATTTTAAATAACTCATTTAATCCTTTCAACAGCCTTGTATTATCCATTTTAGACAAAGGCAAAGGGAAGGTAATATGTTTTTCCAGCATCACATAGATAATAAGTAATAGAAGTGTATTTGAACTTGGGCATTCTCACTGTAGAATCATGTTCTTAACCACTAACCTTTTACCAAACTATCCAAACTTTTTTCCCCCCCTTTTTTTTTTTTTTTTTTTTTTTTTTTTGCTATTCCTAAAGATAGAATTCCTTGAATGGGCAATACAGTGATGTCAAAAGAGAATTGGGAAATGTGTTTTTTAAATGCTTGGTGTAGGATGGGCATGGTGGCTCATGCCTGTAATCCCAGCACTTTGGGAGGCCAAGGTGGCAGGATTGCTTGAGGCCAGGAGTTCAAGCACGGCCTGGGAAAGATTGGTGATAACCATTTCTACCAAAAAACCAAACCAAACAAAAAAAAATAGCCAGGTATGGTGGCTGGTGCCAGTAGTCCCAGAGGCTGTGGTAAGAGAATCCCTTGAACTCAGGAGTTTGAGGGTACAGTGAGCTGTCTTAGCACCTGGGCAACAGAGTGAGACCCTATCTCTTTAGGGAAAAAAAAAAGATGGTACATAATTTTCAGTTACAATGTAGGTTGTTTGTTCTGTCCTATAAGTCTTCCCTGGATACCTTTAACTAGACTTTACCTGCAACTCTTAGGTTTGGATAAGACCTTGTATCTGAAGTTTTGTAACTGATTATAATTTACAGAAACCCTTAGTAATGATCTATTAAAGGAGTACCTTTCTACTTCTGAAGAGAAACTTGGCTTGCTTTTTATAAAGATTCTACAAGGTGTTAATCTTCCTGTCTGAACTGAACTATATAACTGGGTATATATCCTACAGTAATTTTCTTGCATCATGCGCAGTACCTTAAATTTAATATCCAGAGACCTTTGTACAACTGGTAAACTTTGCAGTGTGTGTGATATTTTATAGAGCAATAAACTTTCTGTGATCATGAAAATGTTCTATGTGTGCACTGTCCAATATGGTGATCACTAGTCACACATAGCTTTTAAGCACTTTAAATGTGACTTGTTCAGCCAATGAACTGAAATTTTTATTTTATTTAATTAACTTAAATTTAAATAGCCACGTGTTGCTAAGGTTACCGTATTGAATAATGCAAAAGAATTTATTAAGAATGATGAGAAAAAGCACTAATTCTAGTTAATTAATGGAGAGAGAAACATGAATTAACATTTCACAAAGATGACTCATTAAAATATCTAATTGATGGGAGGCTGAATTGAGAGAGGGCTCACATTTGAAGAATGTGACAGCAGAAGCAGTACAGTATACAATGTGCCAGGCTGTGGATGCAGAGAAGCACAGAATTTATTTGGATAGCAAGTAATCTAGTCTGGCCAAAGTGTAGGGTGTATGGGAAGATGAAAATTAAATTTAATAAATCGCAAAAATGATTGTGAGATAAATTATCTTTAAACGATTATCTGGCCTTTGGGAAAGTTAACATTTATCTTTTTTAAGTTGCAGACACCAGCCTCTTTTGCACAGAGTGTTCAGGAACTAACAATTGCTCTCCAGCGGACTGGAGACCCAGCAAACTTGAACCGACTAAGACCCCATTTGGAGCTGTTAGCAAACATTGACCCTAGTCCAGGTAAACCCACAGGAAATTAATGGACTATCTTATATGTGCCTTTAGTGCTGCGCAATGATTCTTTAATTATCTTTTGTTATTCCTCTAGGGTTTCCCAAAGTAGTTACTCCAGATCTTTTTTACAGTATTTTAAATTTCCATTTTAAATCTTGTTCCACTTTATCTCAGGTTAGTTCACTTTATTATTTTTTTTTAATTTAATTTAATTTTTTGAGACAGAATTTCACTCTTGTTGCCCAGGCTGGAGTGCAATGGCGCTATCTCAGCTCGCCACAACCTCCGCCTCCCAGGTTCAAGTGATTCTCCTGCTTCAGTCTCCCAAATAGCTGGGATTACAGGGATGTGCCACCATGCCCAGCTAATTTTGTATTAATTTTAATTTTTATTTTTATTTTGGGGGTCTTGCATTGGAAGCTAATTTTGTATTTTTAGTAGAGGCAGGATTTCTCCATGTTAGTCAGGCTGGTCTCAAACTCCTGACTTCAGGTGATCCACCCACCTCAGCCCCCAAAAGTGCTGGGATTATAGGCATGAGCCACCGTGCCCAGCCTAGTTCACTTTAATTATTTATTTAATGCTTTTTACACTGTTGCTCATTTCATCGGGACAGTAGATCTCTCTGGGCCCCTTTATGTTTCTTCTTTCTCCCATCACAAAATTGTGTTGTATTTTACCATTCTTACCTCTGCCAAATCTCGTTTTTCTCATTTTTTTTCTCCGTTATATAACCTTAGTTGCATTTCCTTGATCCTGTTTTTGCCCTCTCCATGATATTTTGTTCTTTGAAGTATCCTCTCTTGTATATCTTTACTTATTCAGGCTTTTTCTGCTCCTTCTTAACCTGAAAATATACCCAACCTTCATTTTTCACTTTATACTTAAATCTAAGATATCTTAGCTTTTCTGTGTTTATGCCTACTACTGATATGAAGCTATCTTAATATTTGCTAGTAGATTCCCAGTTTCTGATTCCAAAAGCTTTTTCTTAGTCTTTAAATCACTCTCATTTGTTTTCAGCATTTGATAATGTTGTTGAGCACTTTTTTGATAACTTTCTGTGATCTCATAGTTCTCTTCTGACCTGAATGCTACTTCTGTGTTGTTTGTACCAGGCTTTGCCTTCTTCCCCGCTAAAGAGTAGCCAGGTTATGCTCTTAGAATTTTGCCTTCTCTGTGTCCTCTGATGGTGGTTATTCATTCTTAGTATCAGATATTACCTTTGCATTGAATACAGCCTGCTAAATATCTCTATCACTGTTATCTCTGTATCGCTCCAGATACATCTCCCAATGCTTACTGAGATTCTTTGAGTGCTTTGAAGCAAGCTCATCATTAACTGATACCTGCTCTTCCTCTAATGTTTCCTGTCTCTGATAATGACCTCATTATCTGAGTATGCAAGTTTAAAACCTAATTTTGTCTTGCCTCATCTTTTCCTTTCACTTGCTCTACATACCGTTTCATATAATAGGATTTATCTGTTCTTCTTTCACAATGTCCCTATATGCCATGCTTATAATTACTTCCTTTGAGAGCCTCATTCCCTTTCCCTGAAACTGAATGTCTTCCAAGTTCCTCTATGAGTCCCTGCAATCCAGTCTACTTACTGCTGTAAAATAAATCACGTTCCTGATCTTGCTTCCACACTCGTAAATATTCAGTGTTTATAGAATTGCTTATAGAATAAGGTTTGACACTCTTCACTATGCATTCAGAGCGCTCTTAGTTTTTTATTAGCCTGCTTTTATAGATTTGCTCCCAAAATTGCTTCATAAACCAGATCAATGTTACTTGAATATATAGTGATTTTTTCCCCCGACTGCTGTGCTTCGATCATCCTGAGCAGTCAAAAGAGTACTTCCACAAGCTCCTAATCCGTTTTTGACCCCATTTCTCATCTACCTCCTACTTCATTTCCTTTTTTTTTTTTTTTTTGAGACGGAGTTTCGCTCTTGTTACCCAGGCTGGAGTGCAATGGCGCGATCTCGGCTCACCGCAACCTCCGCGTCCTGGGTTCAGGCAATTCTCCTGCCTCAGCCTCCTGAGTAGCTGGGATTACAGGCACACGCCACCATGCCCAGCTAATTTTTTTTTTGTATTTTTATTAGAGACGGGGTTTCACCATGTTGACCAGGATGGTCTCGATCTCTTGACCTCGCGATCCACCCGCCTCGGCCTCCCAAAGTGCTGGGATTACAGGCGTGAGCCACCGTGCCCGGCCTACTTCATTTCTTTATATGGCACTCTCTTGAACTCAGCTCCAGTCAGACATTTATCTCCACTGCTCTATGCAAACTTATTTCATCAAGGTCATAAATTACTTCCATGTAGCTAATTCCAAAGGTCAGTTCTCAGTTCTTAATGTACTTGATTTGGCAGCATTTAACATTGTTCTTTTTCTGAGACAGAGTTTTACTCTGTCCCCCAGGCTGGAGTCCAGTGGCACGATCTCAGCTCACTGCGACCTCTGCTTCCCAGCTTCAAGTAATTTTTGTCCCGAGGAGCTAGGATTACAGGCATGTACTACCATGCCCAGCTAATTTTTGTATTTTTAGCAGAAATGGGGTTTCACCAAGTTGGCCAGGCTGGTCTTGAACTCCTGACCTCAGGTTATCCGCCTGCCAAAGTGCTAGGATTACAAGTGTGAGCCACCATGCCTGGCCAACGTTGTTCTTCACTCTATCCTCCTTGAAATGCTTTTTTCTTGGTTTCTAGGCTACTAATTCCCTTCTTACTTTACTGGATACTCCTTGTCAGCATCCTCTGCTTTCTCCTCATCTCCATATCTTATCATCTTTGGAGTGTTCTCAGAGTCTAATCCTATACCGTTTCTGTTTTCTGTGTGTCCCTATTTCCTAGATAATCTTATCTGTCTCATATTTTCAAATATAATTTATGTGACTCACAAATTTACTGTATTTTATCAGTTCTGAGGTTTATAATTATTTCAGATCTTAGCATTTCTGAAATTGGAAAGCATTTGTACAAAGACGTAATTAACAATCTTTTTTTTTCTTTCGTGGCACATAAAATATGTGTTACAATTGATAGGTTTTTGGAGTTTGAAATATATATCCAGCACATTCCTTTTTCCTGAATTTGTTCATAAAACTTTCTCAACATCCATCATCTCTACTTCAATATCTGATAAGCATTTCAAACTGAATCTATCCAGAAATGATCTCTTCCCTGTCATCCTGTTTGTGGCATCTCTATCCTTCCTGTTGCTTAGTCCAAAAACCTCAACTCTTCTTTTTTCTCATAATATATATCTGATCCATTAGCAAATTCTGTAGGCCTTACCTTTAAAATCCATCCAGAATCCATCTGCCTTCCCTGCTACCATCCCCATCTCTCTGTGGATTATGGAATAGCCTCCTATTGTCTGTCTGATTTTACCAAGAGCCAGAGTAATCCTATCACCTCCCCTCATAAATTCTCCAGTGGCTTTCTAGCACTCAGAGTAAAAGCCAAAATCTTTCCTGTGATCTACAGGGCCTCATGTGGTCTGGTCTTCCATTACCTCTCTCCAGCCTCATTTCCTACTCTATTTTCATTTAATTCCCTCCTCTCTGGTTCCACCTCCACACAACATGCCAGGCACACTTCCCACATCAAGGACTTTGCACTTATTCTTCCCTCTAACTTGGATGTTTTTCCCCTAATATCTCCAGTAGGCACTCTTAAACCCTTCTTTCAGGTCTTTAATCGAATGTAACCTTCTCAAGGAGGACTTTCCTGGTCTTGCTCTAAAATTTTACACGTTGGCCCCACTTCTCTTCTTAGCTCACTTTTTCAAGTCATCATTATCTAAATACTACTCTGTATTTCACTTATTTGTCTTGGTTATTCTCTGGCTCTTCTCCTTGAATATAATGGAGATTTTTGTTTTAATTGCTATTGCTTCCTCAACCACTAAAACAATAACTCAGATTTAGTAAATGTTCCAAAAACTACTTTTTTGAATAGTTGTTCTCTTCACCTTTTTTCCTTTTCAGATTCTATGTGTCCTTCAAAGCCCAGTTCAAATGCCATCACCTAGAATTCTTCCAGGGTGTCTGTACAGGAAGTTATCTCTACTTCTCTCTTTTTATTTCATTTTATATGTTCCTTTTAAAGAATATTTTATATTTAGCCTTACAGATAATTTTTTCTTTAGGAAACGTAGTGCTGGCACTGAGCACATATCTACTAAATGAAGACATGTAGCAGAGTTGCTTTATATAATAGCTCCTCTATTAAACGTTTTAAGCTTTTTGTTTACCAAAACTTGATTTATATAAACCTTCAAAATAAACATGCGAATTGACTAACTACAGGCAGTCCTCAGTTTTGTTTGGTCCACACAGTGATGGTCTGAGCAATGTTCTAAATTGGTTAGATGCCAACATTTTAAAACTGGGAAATGATGGTTAGGTGAATAAGCTGTCACCTAAAACGCTAAGGTGTAAAGCTTAACTTGGTTTCACTGAAATGTTATCCACTAACTCTTTTATTAATTTGATATTGGGAAAAATATTGAGTAACTTAGAGTTTAAAACATTATTATTGGTTGTATAGATGCTCCACCTCCTACGTGGGAACAGCTGGAAAATGGGCTGGTTGCTGTGCGTACAGTGGTACATGGGCTGGTTGATTATATCCAGAACCACAGCAAAAAAGGAGCAGATCAGCAGCAGGTAAGGAAGCTGTTTAAAACTTAGAGTTAACCTACCATGAGTGTGCCTTAAAATTATAGGTAAACCGCTGTGGGTATACCTACAGATACAAAGCCAGAAAGAGTACATGAATATTTTGAGACTCTGACTGTAGAAACTATAAATTACCTTGGCATGGTTAACAGTTTACTGCATTGGCCTGGTGATTTTATCTGATAAAATTGACATTAAATAATCCTTATTGATCTGATGTTGTGCTAGAGTCAGTCTTCACATTGGATATGGCAACATTTGGTGGAGAAAATAGTTTGAGTGCTGAAGTTTGTTCCATTTATGTAAGATTATTATTCTCATTAGTTTGTTTTACATTTTGGTTTGACGATGTGTCACTTTTTAGTGCTGATACTGTATCTTTCCAATACTATTCAAGTTTCTATAGATATTCTTATATTAATACCTTAAGATTTTTTTCATTCATAATGTCTCTTATGCCAGTGGGCCAAAGTTTCCTCAAAGTTTTTAAATGAAATACAGCAGTAGAATATAATAACATAGCTAGAGTTTTACATTTTATTCCCAGTAATTTTATTTTGCCCTTAGGATTTATATTAGGATTATTAGATCTTTTATTTTGCAGTAGTAAGCCTGTGAACTTAAAACTCTTAATTTACCTGTCTCAGGTAAATATTAATAGATTTTTCAGTATTCCTTTTTGCTTGAGGAAAGAAAAAGTGTCCTGCTAAGTAGAGTAATCTGGGTATGATTTTCCTAACCTATCTAAACACAGGTCAGAGCTTTATGATTAGGCATAAAAGAAAGGAGAACCCAGAATTTTTAACTCTCTGTTTCAGTAGACATCTTGAAGAAAATAACAAAAGTAACAAGACTAACCTTTAAAGTTTGCCATATGGTGATAAAACAAACTAAATTTTGTCCAGTTTAGTGTTGTGTCTCATATTTCATTAACTTTCAATTCCATCTTCTTGCCTTATCCTCGAGTTGTAAATAGTAAGTCTTATTTGTACTTTTGGAGATATTTTAAGTCCTTGGTATATTATTCAAGACTTAGTTACAGAATATTTGGTTACAGAGTATTGTTTGATAATAGGGCCTTTTGTAGTTTTTGTGGTGTGTTGTAAGGAGACATACATATAGCTGTATTGAACATTGTATTGTGGAGGATAATTTATGTTTGAAAGTCTTAAACTACAGTGGTTTGTTTTTTTCATTATAAAATGTGGAAATGGGCCAGGCGTGGTGGCTCATGCCTGTCATCCCAGCACTTTGGGAGGCCGAGGTAGGTGGATCACTTGAGGCCAGGAATTCAAGACCAGCCTGGCCAACATGGTAAAACCGTATCTCTACTAAAAAACAAAAATCAGCTGGGCACAGTGGTGGACACCTGGAATCCCAGCTACTCGGGAGGCTGAGGCAGGAGAATTGCATGAGCCTGGGAGGCGGAGGTTGCAATGAACCAAAATCACACCACTGCACTCCAGCCTGAGCAACTCAGTCTCAAAAAAAAATGTGGAAATGAGATCATAGTGCCCTCATGAGTTTTTTTTTCCGTATAAAACAAAGAATGCCCATGAGATTTATTCAAGAATTTACATAATGCTACTTAAACGTTTGAGAATTAATATCAACATATCAGAAAAACTAGGACTACCTTCTTTGTTTTTGCTTTATATATATTTGAACTCTCTGAGGCTTCAGCCTTTCCAGCACTTTGGCTCTTGGTTATCTAAATAAGCGTGTGAATTACTTCTTTAAATTCTCAAGATCTTAAAATGACAACACAAAATTTATGTTTTTTGTGAGGGGTTATTACATATCTAATGTTTTGATTTTGGTTTTAGCCTCCACAGCATAGCAAATACAAAACATACATGTGTCGAGATATGAAGCAGAGAGGAGGATGCCCTCGTGGGGCCAGCTGTACGTTTGCACACTCACAGGAGGAACTGGAAAAGTAAGTGTGAAAGTCAGGAGACTTCGGAATAAGATCTAAGTAGAATAATTTGCTGACATAGAGAAATACAGAAAGAGTAGGTGTTTTATCTTCAACAAATGGGAAAGTTTTAGTATGTAACACAGCTTGAGCATTCCACTTCTGAAATTCTGAAATGCTCCAAAATCCAAAAGTGCTTGAAAGCTGACTTGAGACCACAAGTCGAAAATTCCACACCTGACTTTGTGACAGATAGCAGTCAAAACTTCATGAACAAAATTATTTAAAATAGTGTATAAAATTACTTTCAGACTATGTGTAAAAGATATATATGAAACATAAATAAATTTCCTGTTATATATTTGTGTCCCATCCCCAAGACATCTCCTTATGCATATGCAAATATCCCAAAATCCAAGAAAAATACAAAATTTGAAATACTTGTGGCCTCAAACTCCTCGGCTCAAGGGAGCCTCCTGCCTTGGCCTCCTAAAGTGCTAGGATTACAGGCAGAAGCCACCACACCCACATACAAACTCTTAATTTGTTTATAAATCCGATGTAACATTGCCATTAAGTTTAACGAAGATAGCCGGGCGCGGTGGCTCAAGCCTGTAATCCCAGCACTTTGGGAGGCCGAGGCGGGTGGATCACGAGGTCAAGAGATCGAGACCATCCTGGTCAACACGGTGAAACCCCGTCTCTACTAAAAATACAAAAAATTAGCTGGGCATGGTGGCGCGTGCCTGTAATCCCAGCTACTCAGGAGGCTGAGGCAGGAGAATTGCCTGAACCCAGGAGGCGGAGGTTGCGGTGAGCCGAGATCGCGCCATTGCACTCCAGCCTGGGTAACAAGAGCGAAACTCCATCCCAAAGAAAAAGGAAAAAAAAAAAAAAATTCTATCTAATTTGAATGTTCTTTGACCTCATTCTGCCTTTATTGGTTATTCACACAGGGTGCAAGAACATGTTCATAATTCTCTGTTACTTTTTTACTCATTTGTTTTTTTGAGACAGGGTTTCACTCTGTCACCCAGGCTGGAGTGCAGTGATGCGATCATGGCTCACTGAAGCCTTAACTTCTGGGCTGCAGTGATCCTCTCACCTCAGCCTCCCGAGTAGCTGAGACCACAGATGCATGCCACCACACCCCGCTAATTTTTGTATTTCTGATAGAGACAGAGTTTTGCCATGTTTCTCATTCTGGTCTCGAATTCCTAAGCTCAAGTGATCCACCCGCCTCAGCCTCCCAAAGTGCTGGGATTACAGGTGTGAGCCATTGCACCCAGCACATTATTTTAATAGCGAAAAAAGAAAAGAAAAAACCAGCCTGAAATGAACTGACATAAAGGAATTTCCAAGAGTATAAGTGGAGGAAAAAATTACTAAGCAGTAATATATGACTGTACTTTTGCAAATAATCATCTTATATGAATATAAAGCTAATGTATAAAAGAACAGTGTTCCATAATGATATACCAAACTCTCAAAAATAATTATCCCTGAAGGGTAGTTTTCTTCCCTACCGACCACCACCACCAAAAATTTGTCAGTTGTGGGAAATGTGGAAAAACAGCATTACTCTGATGGGGTTTTATTTTTATTTTTTTAATTAATTAATTTATTTATTTTTTAATCATATATATATATATTTTTTGAGACAGAGTGTCACTCTGTCACCTAGGCTGGAGTGTAGGTGGCTCGCTCTTGGCTCACTGCAACCTCCGCCTCCTTGGTTTAGGCAAATCTTCTGTCTCAGCCTCTCGAGTAGCTGGGTCTGTAGGCACCCACTGCCATGCCTGGCTATTTTTTGTATTTTTAGTAGAGATGGGGGTTTTACCATATTGGTCAGGCTGGTCTCAACTCCTGATCTCAGGGATCTGCCCACCTTGGCCTCCCAAAGTGCTGGGATTACAGGTGTGAGCCCCCACACCCCGCTGGTGTTTTATTTGAAAATAAAAATGCATTAGCAGTTGTAATTGGACTTGCTTTCATTGTTGAGTAACAAAGATCCTAGACTCTTGGCTTATATTTTTTCCTTTGGTTAGATTTCAGAATTGATGTGCTTATTGTTTCACACATCTATTTAAACTTAGGAAATTATTCTGTATTGTTTCCATTAACCTACTTTTAAAAGAACTTTAATTTTGTATTGGCACACATAACATCAGCATCTCTGAAGCAGTTCTAATAAAAGTCACTATCCTTAATTGCCTAAATTAAATTTTTTTTTTTTTAAGACAGGGTCTCACTGTGCTGCTCAGGCTGGAGTGCATTGGTGCAGTCTTGGCTCACCTTTGCCTCCTGGGCTCAAGTGATCCTCCCACCTCAGCCTCCCCAGTAGCTGGCACCACAGGCATGCACCACCACACCCGGATAAGTTTTTATATTTTTGGTAAAGGTAGGGTTTCACCATCTTGCTCAGGCTGGTCTCAAACTCCTGAGCTCAAATGATTTGCCTGCCTCAGCCTCCCAGAGTGCTGAGATTACTGGTGTGAGCCACCATGCCTAGCTGCTTAAATTTTTTAACAGAGTGAATGATAAATGTTTCACAGTGCATACTGGCTTTGTTTTTCTTTTATTCTTAATTTTTAACATTGGCTCATTGTACTACACCCAGGGCATTTGAGGGCGAGTTAAAGTAAAATATTTCAGAAACTGTCTTCTGAAGATTTTTCTACTAGCTTCTCCAATAACTTTTAGAAATGCAAGTGTCCACAGAAGTATATTATAGCAAAAATATTAATTGCATAATTTATAATGTTACAAATGTTATACTTTTTTTCTTGAGATATATTCTTACTTTGCCTCCAGGCTACAGTGCAGTGGAGTGACCTCGGCTCACTTCAACCTCTGCCTCCCGGTTCAAGCAATTCTCCTGCCTCGGCCTCCTGAGTGGCAGGGATAACAGACACACACCACCACACCCACCCAATTTGTGTATTTTTAGTAGAGGCGGGATTTCACCATGTTGGCCAGGATGGTCTCAATCTCTTGACCTCATGATCCTCCTGCCTCAACCTCCCCAAGTGCTGGGATTACAGGTGTGAGCCATTGCACTCGGCCTATGTTACACATTTTAGTGAGGAATTTTATACTTATTCAATATGTCTTGCCGCTTGAGATTTTATGGAAAATACACTGCGTTCTCAGGTTGATAAGAGTTAATGTTTCAGGAGAGAATATTTCTAGAAAATAATATTCTTAAGTACATTTTAGTTCTTGGTTTTGCTTTTATATTTGCTTTTTGATATGTGCCTATGCTTTTTATATAGATTTCGCAAAATGAACAAGCGCCTGGTTCCGAGAAGACCCTTGAGTGCCTCTTTGGGTCAACTTAATGAGGTGGGCCTGCCTTCAGCAACTATCCTTCCAGATGAAGGTGCAGTGGATCTCCCTAACAGAAAACCGCCTGCTCTGCCAAATGGAATTGTATCAGCAGGGAATACAGTAACACAGCTTATTCCACGAGGGACAGACCCCAGCTATGATTCTAGTCTGAAACCAGGAAAAATAGATCATCTGAGCAGTAGTGCTCCTGGATCTCCTCCTGACCTGTACGTCATTTTTCCTAACTCTTACTTCAAATTTTATTTTTTATAAAGTCAAAGGAAGAAAGAAAATAATTAATCTTTGGGATTTTTTTTTTAAACTTTTTTTTTTTGGCCTTTATTTTGTTGCATTTTACTTCTATTTTTCATACTAGTGTGTTTTAAGAAAGAATTAGCACTAGATTAGGCTAGCTGTGGTGGCTCACACCTGTAATCCCAGCACTTTGGGAGGCCAAGGTGGATGAATCACTTGAGGCCAGGAGTTCGAGACCAGCCTGGCCAACATGGTGAAACCCATTTCTACTAAAAATACAAAAATTAGCCAGGCATGGTGGCATATGCCTGTAATCCCAGCTACTCAGGAGGCTGAGGAATGAGAATTGCTTGAACCCAGGAGATGGAGGTTTTAGTGAGCTGAGATTGCATCATTGCACTCCATCTTGGGCGACAGAGCAAGAGTCTGTCTCAAAAAGGGGGGGAAAAAAGAGAGAAATAATTAGCATAGGGGAAATAAGATAAAAATTTGCAAATTTTGTAGAAGTGATGAGTATTATAATCGAGTTTCCCAAACTGTGGCAATCATTTTTACTTGTAACAGTTTATGCACATGAGAATTTTAAAGTCCTTAAACAAATTCCATAATCTTATTCCCTTAGGCTAGAATCTGTCCCTAAGAGTATTGCTGCCTTACCTGTGAATCCACATCCTATACCTCCAAGGGGGCCAACAGATCTGCCTCCAATGCCTGTCACCAAACCACTTCAGATGGTACCTCGAGGTTCGCAGTTATATCCAGCACAACAGACAGATGTTTATTATCAGGATCCTCGAGGAGCGGCTCCACCATTTGAACCAGCACCTTATCAGCAGGGTAACTATTTTTCATTTATATTGCTCACTTTTTTTAGGAGTTATGAGAACCGTTCAGATCAGAGTGATGTTTTACATAGCAGCCTCTTAAGTAAATAGATAAATGCATTTTTTAATACTTTGGAAAAAATTGAGATTTTATGATCTACTAAATATTATGAAATAAATGAAACAAAGCAATAAAAATCAAACTGCCTTATCTACTAAAAGCAGTTGCTTAATAAACATATTCATATGTAATATTTATGGAAATAATAAGTCACACAAGTAGGCAATGGAAATTTGCTGAGTAGGGCAGTATATATTCTCCTGACTAAAATTTTCTTCAAGCATTAAAAAAATATATATATGTATGTATATATATACACACACACACACACACACACACACACACACACACACACACACACATATATATATATATATATATATATACACACACATACACACACACACACTTTTTTTTTTTATTTTGAATACCGGCTTGCTCTGTAGCCCAGGCTGGAGTGCTGGCGTACAGTGGCCTGATCTCAGCTCACTACAGCCTTTGCTTCCTAGATTCCAGTGATTCTAGATTCCAGTGATTCTCCTGCGTCAGCCTCCTAGGTAGCTGGGATTACAGGTGCATGCCACCATGCCCAGCTAATTTTTGTACTTTTAGTAGAAACAGGGTTTCACCATGGTAGCCTGGCTGGTCTCAAACTTCTGGCCTTTGGTGATCTGCCTGCCTTGGCCTTCCAAAGTGCTGGGATTACAGGTGTGAGCCACCATGCCTGGCCAAGAATTAATGTTGTAGTGTTTGTAAATTAAACACCATAGTACATTTTCCTTCCTTTTAATTTTTATTTTTCTGGACCCTGTAATATATATGAAAAAATGCAGCATACATACCTTTAGAGAGTTTACAGACTAGAATAAATAATGGTCAAGAATAGAAAACTATTTCTATGCGTGAGTAGTATATGCATGTGTGTGGTTATGTATGTTTTAAAAATTAAGTGATCTGTTGTTGCGGTTAATATTAGCTTTGGCCGGGCGCGGTGGCTCACACCTGTAATCCCAGCACTTTGGGAGGCCGAGGCGGGTGGATCACGAGGTCAAGAGATCGAGACCATCCTGGTCAACACGGTGAAACCCCGTCTCTACTAAAACTACAAAAAATTAGCTGGGCATGGTGGCGCGTGCCTGTAATCCCAGCTACTCAGGAGGCTGAGGCAGGAGAATTGCCTGAACCCAGGAGGCGGAGGTTGCGGTGAGCCGAGATCGCGCCATTGCACTCCT